AGCGTTAGCGTACGAGAATGAAAGGTAAAAATGTAAGAAGTGAATAAGAGAGAATTAGCGAGGAAAGGAAAGGACTGATTAGTCGATAAAGTTAAAAAAGAAATAGAGGTTGAGGTAGAAATAAAAAGAAAAGAAAACTGGGCTAAAAGAAATGAACATGAAATAGATAATATCGCAATTGTGTAACAACATGTGTTACGTGTTGCTAAACCAAGCGTTAACGAAGCGGATATCGATTGACAATTGCGATTCATGGCGTCGTATTTGGGCGACGAACGCCCGGTGACAGGTAGAAAAATGTCGAGTGAGTCGAATGGCCACTCGCAGTTGCTATTCAAAACGCAAATGAAAGACAGGCAAAATACAGTAATTTTAAAAACGAGTAAACGACAGATGTTATTTTGGTATATATATATATATATATATATATATATATATATATATATATATATATATATATATATATATATATATATATATTTTTGGCTTCCTTTTCTATCTCTCCTTGTGCCTATATATATATATATATATATATATATATATATATATATATATATGTCTGTGTGTGTGTGTGAAAATATATAGAAAATAGGAAAGAACTCGTTAGGTAAATAATTCAAAATTCTTTTAGTATTTTGTTATTTATTATTATTATTATTATTATTATTATTATTATTATATATATATATATATATATATATATATTTACAATATTTATATATATATATATTTACAAGCATATATGTATGTCTGGGACAGAAATCATATATATATATATATATATTTTTGAAACAATAAAAAAATAAAAAAATTAAAATCTTTAGACACACTGAGTTGTAGATTAATATTCTTTCGTTTTTTTTTTTATTATTATTATTCCATTTAGATTCCTCGACTAGTTTCGACCCAAATGGCCATCATCGGGAGTTGAAATATTTCTGCTTGCTGTTAGCACTAAACTACAGAAATGAGTCTTTTGTTGGAGAAAATGAACTTTATATATATATAAATAAAAAGAAAGAACAGTAAGATATATAATCCGGTGTTCTTATAGATATTTTTATTTTTACAAAATGGTGCTCAATATAAATTTACAGAGCATTAATATTATAAATTAATTGATTTAAAATATGTTTTTTTTCACTACACAGTTCTAACCATGTTTCAAAAATGGAAGCTAAAAGCCCCGAATTTAATTTTGTAATTAAATTGAAGACATTAGTTCCATTTCATCCTCAATGTATATATATATAAACACATATTGTTAAATATAGTAGACAATGAATGTCTATTATGTTTAATCATGAGCCGTTGATTTAATTTCGGGTGAAAATAAAGACAAAATTGTCCAACTTTTGGGTAATTTTTATTAAGCTGTTCCTTGATCTAAGCTTTCGGTTCCCAAGACCCATCTTCAGAGTGGTTATACGGACATTTAAACAAAGATATTCACCATCAAAGATGATATTCTATTATGTTGACACTCAACAAAATTATATTTCAAACTAGTCACACCATCACATTGCATCTAGACATGGTTATGTTGCTGATATTTCGGCTTCTCACGTGGTATGACGTCATAGAACCGAGTCATGAATTTACGAACTACGTCTGCTATTCCGCGACCGTTATCGTTGCATAGCAATCTTCTATGTCAACATAATAGAATATTATTTTGATGGTGAATATCTTTGTTTAAATGTCTGTAAAGACACTCTGAAAATGGCTCATGTGAGTCGAAAGCTTAGATCAAGGAATAATTTAATAAAATATCCAAATGTTGGACAATTTTTGTCTGTTTCCATCCCGAAATTAAAACAAACATACAAACAACGGCTCATGATCAGACATAATAGACATTCCTTGTCTGTTATATTTAACAATATATGTTTAAATAATGATTAATAAAGATTAAGCGTATGTTTTTCTCTTTGTCTGCATATATATATATATATATATATATATATATATATATATATATATATATATATATATATATATATATATATATATATATATATATATATATATATATATATATATATATATATGTCATCCACAGACAGTTTTGCTGTATCACAGATCTTCAATGTGGCTAGACGTCCGATTGTTTCAAGCCGGGATCGAAAACCCAAACTGATTAGGGATCAGTCAAAATCCTACCCCTTCGCGGATAGAAACGGAAAATTTTAACGTTTTCTTTACAAAATACGTAAATTATGAACCAGTTTTTTTGCTTTTAATTATTTTTAATAAAGTAAATCGTAAAGAAATTTAATTTTTAATAAAGTACATTGACATATAAAAAATAAGAATTCGATTTGCTTTATTAAAAAATTACATTACAATTTACTTTATTAAAAAATGATTAAAATCAATTGTGTTTTATTGAATTATTTTTATATGTCAATTTTATTTATTAAAAAATAAATTTCTTTACGACTTACTTTATTGAAAATAATTAAAAACAAAAAAATTGCTGATGCATATTTTACACAATGCCTTTTCAAATATCTTATTTGATGAATTAAGGTTTTAATCCTTAATAAATTACTTTATTATGTTTTTCTGGTGTTGTGTTGTTTCGGTCTTGAGTTGTTCCGGCGCTCAGTCGGCGATGTGGAGTTGTCCCTTCCCGTTTATAGCGATTTTTCAAGCATAGCTTAAATGTGCCACAAGGCCGAAAGTAAGTGGGACCCGTGAGGAACGAACTCACTACTCAGTCGTAATTGTTCTATTGAGACAAGCTTGCTAGCCATTACACCGCCTTGAGACGCCCGCCTTCCCGTATATATGTGTGTAATTGTACGTATGTAGCTTTTTATATGTTGATGTGATTTTTTTTATGTCACCTTTTATTTACCTCTGGGTGCAGGTTTATGTTTTTTGACGATGTCGTATAATGTTTATCGTTCTGACGCCTATTTATTATCTGTTTGAATTAATTCTTGCGTCCAGCCTTTTGCTTAATATGTTGTGAATTTTGTGTTTATTCCAACGGCCCACTCTTTTTCGCAGCTGTCTAAAAACTGCGGAAAAGACTGAACTCCATATATTATTATTTTTTTTTTTGCTATACAGATATATAATTATGTTTCTTTGTAAAGAAAAAAGGTTCTGTAAGAGATTAACAATTGAAATAATTGAAAAATTATAACAATGTACTGTAATAGATGTTACATGATGGATAGAATATTATTTCTTAACGTAGATGCTGTTGGACAGAAGAAGAGATCAACAATAACTGATAATTAGATAAAATAATTATGCTAATATATTGTCATAAAATTTATGTAAAGGCAGAAGAATTCTTCTTACTGGAAATTTTATAAAGCATAATAGGAGATAGACAACAATAACTAAGAAAACTGAACAATTATAACAATATTCTGCAATAATAGAAGATTCCTTCTTACAATGGATCTTATTACGCACAACAAAAGATTCACAATAAACCAATAATAAAAGTTAAGTAGCAAATAAAAGCTTTGTTCTTATCGTAGGTTTTGTTAGGCACACTTGTAGCGCGCATTAACACAATTATTTATCTTTAACTGGGAATGACGTGGAAAAGGACAAGCAAAGACGGTGGAGGTTACCAAACATGTAGTGGTCACAATGCAATTTATATTTGACGTAAAACAGCACATAGTATAAAATACGAGACAGAACGTAATGGTTCAAAACATAACAATTGAATTTATTAGTACATGCATATAAGCTGAAGGTTTGAATGAGTTATGTCTCTTAGATTTGGAAAGATTTGTACCGGAGCTCATAAAGAGGAAGTAATTATTAAACTGAAGTTTTAGAAGAATAAATTTCCTGTTGCATGTTAGGAAATGTGAATTGGTAAAGTTGGTAAGAGTTCAGAAGAGTTAAGAGTTCCTAATTGGTAATGTTCTTTAACGTCTGACCGCACGGTCAAGACGGGAGTTCTTGAAGATTACGTCTTGGCAGCAAGGAATAAGATGAAGAGAGAGAGAGAGAGAGAGAGAGAGAGAGAGAGAGAGAGAGAGAGAGAGAGAGAGAGAGAGAGAGAGAGAGCTTACACGTGTTTTGTTTTTATAAGATGGTGTTTGGCTCAAACGTTAGTGAGCGGGAAATTTCATTCCTCGCGTACAGAATATCTGATTGGTCGGAATTGACCAGTCAGCGAGCTAGTTTTGAGGAGATTAACCAATGAATGCTTGTCGCATGATTTGTATGTATGATGGTAATGATAATTACCACACACTATATATCAACAACAATAATTACTAGCAATGGTGAAGTTTATTTATGAATTAACCCCAATAAAAGACTAACAACAAACTAATAAGAAAATACTTGCTGGTATTTCCCCCGTTTAAGTCTGTTCGAAAAGATAAGTAATTACTGCTGTCGAAGAAAATATAATTCAGTGATGTGACACAGAATGAGAAAAAAGACGAAACGAAACCTTTGAGATTCGAACCTTTTATGAGTATAACAGAAGAAAAGAGAAAGGAAGAAAAGGAGTGTGGTCAAAAGAAGTAAGCAACTCTGTTTTGGTACGTAATTTCAGATTGGACGTTTCTTCCCTCTACACCGGTTTCTTTGTATTTATTCATTGTTCTCTTCCCTGTATCCGCTTCGTCGTTCGTTCCTCCTATCACAACTGTACGATTTACCACGACAGAAGACCTCTCATCTCCACGTTGGTCTACTTATAATGGGGAATCACCAATTACTTGCCCGGATGATAGACATACTAGACATAACTGGCACCTTAGAATGGAGCACTAACATACCCGGATGTCCCTCCTAGATTCCATCCAACCACGCTAATATTATACACAGTTGCTAACGAACCAATTTCTTGTGGAATAACAAAGACGGGTCTCTTTTGACTGGACGGTGTACTTGCCTTCTCTCAAATCGAAAAAGACGAAATCTCTTTCGTCGAGAATAAGGCAAGTCTTGTTCACCATTTCTACCATTCGACCTCTGGTTCTGGTTCACTATGTCTGGCATAAGGAGAAAGTAAGAAAAGGAGAAAAGAAGGAGTTTTACAATAATGGTCTCGCAAAAAAAAAGGTATTTTGCGGACTTACCTTGTCACAGAAAAGAAACGTCCTGTTAAAAGTTCTTTGAGGTTTTGTGATTTCTTGTTGTTGTGGTGGTAGTGCGGCAATGTATCGGCGTCTGGACTTCATGAGGATTAAGAAGATATTTCTTCACGTGGAGTAGGTGCTACAATCACAGATCTGTTGGTATTTTTTTTTTGTACCGAGAGCAGTGTTTTTGAATGTGTTACTCGCTGAAAGCCAACGTGGAAAAGAGGAAGAAAGATTCAAACATGGCGCACAGATCGGGAAGAAGCAGCTTCAGTAATGAGCCTTCTGACTGGTTCCTTTTCAGCCAGTCACAGGGATCGTTGTAACAATGCCAAGGGACTCGTTCAAAGCGAGCTTAGTCTGAAAGACTCGTAATAATTTCAATATTCTTATAACAATATAATGTAATAAGAGTTAAGTGGCGGATAGAATATTCGTTCTTACAGTAGATCTTATTAGACATAATAAGAAATTAACAACTGTTATGAATAATCAAAAGTGGTCTCCCTTTGTTTTGTTACTCTCCTCTTTAAGAGAGCTATTTCTGTTTACTGGGACTATGAAAGGACACTATACACGAACCTTGTATTCTCAGCTGAATAAAGCTTTCTTAAAGCTTACACCTGCGCACTTTTGTCATTATAACAGTAACCAATAATAAAATAGAACAATTATAACAATATACTGTAATAAATGTTATGTAGCTGACAGAAGATACATTCTTACTTCAGATCTTATTAAGCTCAATAAGCGAATAACAGTAACTAAATATAAAATAGAATAATTATAACGATATTCTCTATTAACAGTCATATAGCGGATAGAAAATTCGTTTTTACAATGGGTCTTATTAGGACAATGAGTGAATAACAATGACTAAATATAATAGAGAAGAATTATAACGATATTCTCTAATAACAGTTATGTGGCAGATAGAAAACTCGTTCTTACAATAGATCTTATTAGGACAATAAGAGATTAAAAACAAAAATTATTAATAATAGAGAACAATAATAAAAATAGACTAAGTTTTGTTTAGATAGGCGTCTGTTTTTTTTTTTTCATTTGTTCTTTGGTAGGCTCAGTATTGGTAATGTTGGGTTTTAACATTTTCTCTTGACCAATTACGTAGTTTATTTAAAATACGTTGTTATAGATGTTACCTGACGGACAGAAAATTCGTTCTTACCGTAGATTTTAATAACTTCGCCATAATGATGTTCATCTTATCGATTTAAATGAAACATTACTTTTTGGCATATCCCAAGTGCCAGAAACACAACCTCTGTGCTTTGAGACCATTATTAATTAAAGTTAAAGAAATATTTATTACTAGGATTAATTACGGATAATTGAAACCGTGGAACGTGGAACTATAAATAAATTTGGATTATTGTGTTAAAATATTAACATATTAGAAAATAAAGCCGTAATATTACAGGTACGATCTGTTCTACTAGGTACCACCACAGATTCGCGATACCTTTTTTTAATATAGTCACTGAAGATTATCTCGTTAAATTTCTCGAGTTTTCATAAGTTAACACATGTAAAGAAAAAAAATTTTACTAAGATTTTCTAAGATACATTTCTAAAATAATTTCATTTGTGATTAAGTCCTGAGAGTTTAATTAAAATCCGACAAGTGTTTGGTTTTTACAAGAATTTCCAAATCAATGTGTCTTTCACCACAAAAAGACGCTAAAATTTGCTGTGATAACTTATAGTTCATCCGCTGACGTAAGATTTTTAACCAAAATTTCGAATGTTCTAAAAATGATTAAAAATATAATTAAATATTCAAAAATACTTTGGTCTTTCCTCTTAACAATAACGAAGATTTTGACGCTAAAACCTAATTTTATCAAGTTTGGGGAAATTTTTCATCATGGTATCGTCTATTTTCGGTGATTTAATGAAGGTACCTACATTATACGAATGCAGCAACGTTTTATACATTTTAATCAATAAAAGTAGAATAACATAGCAAATACTAAAAGTATATATACATATATTTTTTAATCATATCACCTCAAGCAAAGCGATAATGCCACTAGGATACAAAGTATTTGGGCTGAAGAGTCTACAATGATGTTCACTCTGGACAAGGCCAAAGAGCAACTCGAGATAGAGGGATATAGAGTAAGAGGTACAGTTTACACATTTTATGGGGATATGTCGAAAATAACGGTTGACTATAGACATAAACAGGTTTTGTAGTGATCGAGGAAACATCTCCTTGGGAGACGGTTAGTGGGATGAAATTGGTCTAAAAAATTCTCTTCACTCAAATGTTTACAAACGTAGTGACACGGAAAAGCGTGCATATATTAAAATTCATTGGAAATGATTTTACTGTAGAAATTTATTGTAAATGTTTTAAATGCTTGTTGTTTATATAAAACATGATGTCATAGATGAGATTTAGTAAACCGCTATAAAAAATTCTCTTCAGTCAAATGTTTACATACACAATGACACGAAAAAGCGTGCATATATTAAAATTCATTGGAAATGATTTTGCTACAAAAACTGGAATTAATTTTATTACCAAATATTTATGAATCCCATGATATCAGTGGTAGGATTTATTAGAGGAATGCTACGAAACTGATTCATTCTAATGATTGCAAAGACATAAAGAATTTAATAATATCAATAAAAACAGCCATTTTAAAACAAAAGAAAAATAACAAAAGAGAGATAGCAATGAAAAGAAGCAAAACAAAATAACATTACTGCAAAATGGTAATATCGACATGCAAAACACTATTAACACAAATGCAGCATGATTGGTTTATCGATCATCTCTCATCGAAGACAAGAAATGTGCACATCGACTAAAATAAATACTAAATATCGCATGTTATATAATAAATATATAAAAATCATAGGGGGGGGCACCTCGAAGCGGTGTAATGGTTAGCAAGCTTGTTGCGCTAGAACAATTACGACTGAGTAGTGAGTTCGATCCTCACTGGGTACCCCCTGCATTCGGCCTTGTGCCACATCTAATCTGCGCTTGGAAAATCGCTATAACAATCATAGGCCAATGACAGGCTAATTAGAGGTCAGATGAATAAAGGATTCAGTTCCGGATTTTCCGTAGGTTACCCAGCTCCGAGGAAGGCCGGAGGGCACAACGACCAAAACGTTGCGATAACAACAACAAAGATAGTCCGAATATAAATAGTATAAATACAAGTCAATTACGTTTGAGCCTAACAATTTTCAACTAACAGAATGGTGGCTGGCAGGACTTAATACAAATAGATACCATTGCAGATTACTTTACTATAAGTTTTAAAGACATTTGGCTTCTGAATGCCTATTTTCATGTTTATGATTTATTTATTTGCTTTTTTTACTTAATTATTTATTTTTGGTTGTCTTGGTTATTTGTTTTAGAATGTGGGGGTCGTAATTCTTTTACAACTTAGTCATTAGTACTTTTTTGATGCTTTAGATTCACTCCTCTATTAAAAACAAAATTCTGAGGCGGATGTCTCAACTCATTGATCAGCCATTATATTTAACCTCAAAGAAACAAATGATGGTGAGATATCGCGTCTACTGACATAACTTCTTATTTTTATTTATTTATTTATTTATTTTCCTATGAATAGGAGTAGATAGGTTCGCCTATCGTTCAGTTCGCACACCTCCCCGGCTTTTTAACAGGAGTAGAGGTGTATCCCTTGTTTCTTGTTTAGGATTGGGTCTCCGGTTCCTTTTAAATTCTTCTCATTGTCTTTAACTCCCAATCGACCCTTGCATCTTAATGGCATCATCACCTTCCTTGGAAGGAATTTATTAAAAAAAAATCAGTTTGGGATATATTTTGCTTATGAAGGTTTATTTTCCCCAATTTATTCTTGTTTTAATTTTTTTTTAATTTTTCGGTAAAAGTGAGTAACGAAACATTTTATATTTTTTTTTTGATTATCTAGATTGTTTCTGGGAGCACCTCCAAAAAGCAAGATGTTCAAGATATAACAACCCCATTTATCTAAAGCCAAGCTAATAGGATTTACCCATGATCGATCGGTCTCATCCTGAACGTTCTCCAACACAATTAACGGTTGCATTCTTAACGGCACTCCATACTTTCAACGTCTATTGGGTATCAGTTATTTGTAGATCCCAAATGGAACTTATGATGTTATTCTTCTTTCAAAATTGAATACATGATACCCAGATTTTGTGCATAAACATGTTTGTGAGGACGTAATTGCTACAAGTGGTGATACGTGTGTTTTATGCTTTTTTTTAAAGTTATCTTTTGGAATAGATTATAGGTTATTATATGGATTATCTCATGGTTCTTCCATTTTGGTAGTTTCGTTGATTTTGTTTGGCCGGCATATCAACATCTCTATGGGTTATGTAATGCCGAAATTAAACATTTTGAACACAATTTTATGACTCCAACTACATATGCATTTAAATTAATTACTATATTTCTGTATTACTATTTACATTATTCGGATCATTGTCCTCATCTTTGTCGCCGTATTTATTACAACGTTTCAGCCGTTGTACGCTCCGGCCTTCTTCAGGTGGTTGGATCAAGGACGCATTGCACAGTGGATAAGGGCGTTAGTTAGTAAAATTCCATAGGATGGCTAACATCTGCTCCCCCGACTACAAATCCAGGATGATGTTCATATCATTTTGCTGCTGTTTTTACCCTGTACGGATGATAGATCTTCCAATGCAGATATTGACTTTCCCTATCATAATAACGGTTTTTGTACCCGTTGGGTGTGAGTATTGAGCATTCTGAGATAAGGGGATCAATAGTTTCCATGTATTGATCACAGGACCTGCATTTTGGGTCCGTACTGTTTTGCAAGAACAGGCTATGCTCCTGTGCACCAGGAATAAATCCTTCAGTTACACCCTTAAGTTCTGAACTCTTTAAACACTGGGTGGTTATTATTATTATTATTATTATTGTTATTATTGTGGTTGGTTTTTTTTTTATTGTTGTTGCTACTGTTATTATTGTATTTTGGTTCAACTATTAAACTTCAAACCCCCCGTCCCATCATTTGCTTTCATTTTCTTTTCCTTCCTTCCTTCCTTCCTTTCTTTCTTTCTTTCTTTCTTTCTTTCTTTCTTTCTTTTTCTTTCTTTCTTTCTTTCTTTCTTCTATTTTGTTCTTCTCCAGCTGCCATTATTCTCGTTTTTATTATGTTATAATAATAATAATAATAAAAAAGATTAAGGAACTAGACCAAGATGATACATAGAAATACTGAAGGAGACGGAATAAAACAAATAATGAAGGAGATGGAACACAATATTCAATTATGATGAAAAAAATCCGAGAAGCATATTATAGGAAAGTGCGTTTGATACTTGAAAGCAAACTAAATGGGGGGGGGGGCAATAAAATAAAGGCTATCAACACCCGTAGTAACATACAGCTTCAACATTATTAAATGGAAGTTGAATAAAAGTAAAAGATTGGACGCCAAGATCAGAAAAATGCTTACCCAAATGAGGATGCACCACCTGAAATCAGATGTTGATAGGCGGTACGTACCAAGAACTTTAAAACGTCGATGTCTAATCCAACTTGAACTAACTCTAAAAACTACAACACTTGGATTAGAAGCTTACCTCATAAAAGCCAACGATCCTCTCCTACAAATAGTAAAACACTAAATCCACTCAATCAACAAAGAAGCTGCACTCTTCAAGAAACAGCTTAATATATCTGAAATCCTACCAACAAAAAACGAATCGAATAACATCTACGCCAAACGAATAAAACAGAAAGCAAAACAATTTGGCTAAATGAAATTACAAAAAAAACCCCCAAAAAACTAGGAGGACAAGAAGCTGCAAGGCAAATACCTAAAAAGAAAGAAAGAGTTGTGGACAAACAGAAAATATATCAGTGGCTGAAGAGCACTGGGTTGAAAGCTGAGACAAAAGGCGTAATTATTGCAGCTCAGGACCAAAGCCTCGCAACTAGAATCTAGCACTGTTACATAATCAAAGATGGAACTAACCCGAAATACAGGATCTGCGGAAAATATGATGAAACTGTCGACTCGGGATGTCCGGGAGATATGCAAGAAGCTCAAAATCGAAATTACTGAGAGATGGTATAAGCACCATAAGTACCCAAAATAACGACATAACTATCCTCTGGGGTATGCCAATTCAAACTGACAGGGAAATAAGTCATCAGACCTGATATCATAAAAGACAAAAATTCAGGAAATGTATGCCTGAGAGAAACACCTCCATAAAAATTATCGAGAAATTGTTCAAAACAAGGACTTGGAGATCGAGATTAACAGAATATGGGGAATGAAGACTGAGACTAAACCAATAGTAATCGGAGTTCTGGGCCTCGTGAGAAAAGGAATGGACATTTTTACTAACAATGTCCCAGGTAACATCAACATACAAGTTGTCCAGAAGATCACCCTCCTAGGAACTTTCCATATACTAAGAAAAGTGCTATCAATTAAATGACAATTCTCCTATAGGGCTCAAGAAACATAATCTGGGTCCGGTTGTACAGGATACAAATCTGGAAACATAACATACGCAAATACTACTACTACTACTACTACTAATAATAATAATAAGAAGAATAATATACCAAAATGCAGGAAAAAAGGTAGAAATCTCAGGACAGCTTGCATTACCGTAAAGACTTTGATAATATGCCACACTTTTGGATCATTAAGGATTTGGAAATATACAAAGTCCTCTCGGTGATACTAAATTTATTTAAACATGGCATGAAACTGTGGAAAACTACATTATACCTAAATTACACCAAAGGTACTGACACGTCCAATTGGTTGAATGTCCGACTCAGAATCTTTCAAGGAAACTCCCTGACACCCTTTCTGTTTTCTTTGACCTTAATCCACGTTTCGCATGAACTAAACAGTACTACCTATAGATACAAAGTAAAAAAAAGAAGAAAGTATTTAATCACCTACTCTACACGGATGATATCAAACTCTTTGCCAAAGACAATTATGAGTTAAAGGCTATTCCATAATACAGTAAGATATTTCAGTGATGACATTTGTATGGATTTCGAATTAGATAAATGTGCAAGAGTAACATTCAATAAAGGGAGAATTACATAAACACACTCAATAGATTCAGATTTTGTCACAAAGATTAGGGAACCGGAACAAGAATAAGTCTATAAATACCTAGGAGTCAGCGAAGGAGATGGAATGCAGCATTCTCAAATGAAGGAGAAAGTAAGAAAAGAATACGAAAGGCGTGTCCGTCTGGTGTTAGATACCGACTTGAATTCACAAAACAGAATATCAACCATTAAGACTTTCGCTGTCCCTGTAGCGCAATACAGTTTCAACATTCTTAATTGGACCATAGCTGACATTAAGCGAATCGATGTCAAAACGAGAAAGCTTCTCATTTGCCACCGCATGCATCATCCTACGGATGATGTTGATCGTCTGTATGAGTTCAGATCCGAAGGAGGCGGAGCATTAGTTCAACAAGAGCTGTCTTACAAAACCACAACAAACGGTCTTCAAAGATATCAGGAAACTACAGAAAACTGGATGATGATCTGGGTCAAAGAAAGAAATAAGAAACTTTATTCAGTAATAAAGGAAGCCAACATATTCAAAAGGGAATTTCAAGTCGGTGAAGAATTGCAAATAAACCATAATGCACCTCCTGCAGGGAAAAGAACCTAAAAAAAGCAAATGCAATGCATCAAATGCAGAAACGATGGCAAAATAAGCCTCTTCATGGTCAATACTCTACCCGTACCAAACAAGCTGATGCAGACAAACCCCGTACCGATCGGTCGCTATGTAGTGCAGGATGCTGAAACTGAAGTTTTTATTTTTGCTGCACAGTACCAATGCTTGCTAAGTAGAAATTACCAAGCACACATACTGAAAAATTGTGTTGACCCCAAATGCAGATTCTGTGATAAATATCCAGAAACAATTGATCATCTTGTATCATTTTGCACAATGTTAACACCAACTGGATATAAAACTCGGCATTGATAGAGTGAGACAATATCTGCCTTGAAAAATATGCAACTTTTATGGGAAGGAAACTGTAAGAAACTGGTATAGGCATCACCCAAATCCGTTTACAGAGATAGAACCTGTAACAATTTTACGGGACTTTACAATACACACAGGCAGAACAATCAAAGCTAATCGCCCAGACATTGTGATCAAAAATCACAAGAACAGAATCTGCTTTCTTATTGACATGACAGTCCCTGCAGATTGTAATGTATCTTTGAAGATCTTAAAAAAATACTATCAAAATACAAGGATCTTAAAGTGGAAATCTCAAAGATGTGGCACATGAGGACATCAATAATTCCAGTTGTAGTTGGAGCCCTCGGATTAATTAGAAATGTTTCCGATAGACTCATTGAAAGAGATGCCTTAAAGAAATACAAAAAAAAAAAAAAAATGTACTCACAACTACAGCTCACACATTACGAAGAGCTTTATCTATGTAAAATGTGGGTGACCTTAGGTTTGTTTTTACAAAAATGATCAGTGAACAATGTCATGAAGCCATTTCTGACCTTAGGTCTCTGGTCCGGACCCGGAAGGAAATCAAAGATAATAATAATAATAATAATAATAATAATAATAATAATAATAATAATAATAATATAGTTTGGGTTCGTACTATCATGCAAGATATTAGCTTGATTTATTATTATTATTATTATTATTATTATTTCCTGAATATAATCAGCTTGGTGATAATGTTATAATCCTCATTATCATAATTATCCTGATGATCAGTTCCTTTATTATCAGATGTACATTAATGAAAACTTAAACAAAAAGACACTTTTAAAGAGAGACCAACCTTTATTTACCAGCAAGGTGTTCACCATACCTTGTCTGCTTGATCGCTTAATCTTCCCATCCTTGAAATACCCCTGCCGGGAAAACATTAATAGCAAACAAGCACACTAAAAAATTCGTCCAGTAATTATTTAGGAACGAAAAGAGAAGAAATGCAAAAAAAATCCCACCCAACTTGCTAAATAATTTTACACTCACTCACTTACACGGCACCTATCTATTGAATATAAAGCCTGTAAAGTACTGAATAAGAAAGAAGGCAATAAGCTAGATTTCCCACAGCGATAACGAGGCTATATTATATATGCAAATTAGCCAGGGTGGCAATTACGACATGGTTGTTGCCGATGGCCAACAGGCCACCCGGAGCGTTCGTTTGGCAGCCACACACTTTCTTTTCATTTTCTTTTCTATCACTTTCTTTATTTTCTTTCTTTCTCATTCTTGTTTTTTTTCATTTTTCTACATTTGCTTTCATTTCTGCTTTCTTCATTTTTCTTTTATTTTCTTTTTTTCTCTTATTTTTTAATTCTTTCTCTTACTTTTTATTCTATCTTTCTCTTACCTTTTTAAATTTTTCTTCGTCTTTCTTTTTCATTTTTTTCTTTCTTTTCTTTTATTCTCTCTTTTTACTTTCATGCGAACTTCTTTCAATTTCCTTTAGTTTTTACCTATCTTTATTCCATTCTTTCTTCTTTTGAGTTCCATTTTCTTACTTTTCCTCTTTTCGTCCACTTTTCCTTTATTTCATTTCTTCTTTTCTGTCATTCTTTAGTTTTCTATGGCAGTCAGTACTTCATTTGGCTTACATGACTTTTTTTTTCTTCTTTCACTTTAATTTCTTCAACCTAAATATCATTCGTTTCTTATTTTATTCTATATCCATATTTCTATTATTTTTAATTTTCCTTCCAACCGCATCAATGCCTTCATTTTTCTTACATGGCTTTCCTTTCTTTTCTTCACCGGTTCTCGTACGATGACAGAAGTTAAGCAATATCGAGCCTGTTCAGTCCCTAGATCAGTGACCGCTTGGGAATACCAGGTGCTGTAAGCTTGTATGTGCAGCTGGTGTAATCAGTAACGGTTCAGAATATAATTGAGGAAGGTATGAAGAAACCTCCTCTCCCCTCCCAGCTATGGGTTAATTAGTGGGACTAGTATCAGTAAACTATTATTATCTCTAACAAAATTCTTATATTCTGAAAATATTGTCTAGCTTTAAATAACCGCTAAAAGGTTGATAAGCCGTAAGCAACTATTCAATTAATCCATTTTTTTCTTCTCTTCTTTCGTTATATTTTCTTTCTTTCTTTCTTTCTTTCTTTCTTTCTTTCTTGTTTGATTGTGTTCGTATGATTTTTCTTTCTTTTCTTCTTTCTATTTCTTTTACTCATTGTTTCGTTATTGACTATTTTCTGATAACCATATTCTTGTTTGTTCATTCTTATATATTCGCGTGTTTATATTTTGTAGTATGCTTTAAATTTACATTTAAATTAATTTCGCTTCTTTAAAAATAAGTTTTTCGAAAATCCCAGATTACTTTTTAATAATTACTATTTTACTCTCCATTTCTCTACCCTTCTCCCATTCTCTACCTTTCTCTATCTATCTATCTATCTATCTATCTATCTATCTATCTATCTATATATATATATATATATATATAAAATCTATCTATCTATCTATCTATCTATCTATCTATCTATCTATATATATATATATATATATTTAAAAATAAAAATAAAAATAAAAATAATAACTAAAATACTAAGGGACATTGGATTATTTACCTAACCAGTTCCTTCCTATTTTCTATATATTTTCACATATTATATATATATATATATGTGTGTGTGTGTGTGTGTGTATGCGTGTGTGTGTATCTCTCTGTGTTTCACTGCCTTCCATAGATTTCCCCTCCATCTCATTCATGACATTGTTTTGCTAAATATTCCTTCCATTCTTTTTCTTTTTGTTAAATAGACTTACTTTCTTTCTTGCTAAATCATCCTTCTTTTCTTTCTTTTATTCTTTCTTTCGTGATTCATATCTTTTATCTTTTTTTCTTTCTTTCACATTTTATCTTTTTCTTTTATCTTTTTTTCATATCTTTCTTTTTGCTAAATCTTCTTCTATTGCTTTATTTCTCTTTTCTTTCTTTACTTATTTCTTTATTTATTGTTTAATCCCTTCTTTCTTTCTTTCATTCATGTTTAAATAATTTCTTTTTTCTTTCTTTCATGACTAATACTTTTCTTTCTTTTTTCTTTTCATTCTTACTAAATCTTCCTTTCTTTCTTTCTTTCTTTCTTTCTTTCTTTCTTTCTTTCTTTTAGTCACTTTCTCACATGTTTTTTCACGTTTCGTTGCGTCGGTACAATTACGAACGATTACAAGTCTATGTCCGCATACCTACGGTAAATGGAAATACATATAGCCAAACATTTTGCGTCCAAGGCCAAATGTCCACATAGACTGAAGGAACTATGTCCAAAGATTCCAACCTAAGTTCAACTGATGCCCTTCAGAAATAGAAAAGAAGAAAACTAGTTTACTAGAAAGGGATAAAGAAAAAAAAGAAAAATAGAAGGAACTCAAGATTATTAGAAAGAAAGAAAGAAAGAAAGAAAGAAAGAAAGAAAGAAAGAAAGAAAGAAAGAAGCTATCAATAGAGAAAAAAGAAAGCAAAGAAAGAATGAAGGGAATACAGATTACTAGAAAGAGAGAAAAAAACAAAGGACGAAAGAAAGAAAGCAGCTACGAAGAGATAAAAAAGAAAGAAAGAATAAAGGAAATGTAGATTACTAGAAAGAAAGAAAGAAAGAAGCTATTAATAGAGAAAAAGAGAGCAAAGAAAGAATGAAGGCAATATAGATTACTAGAAAGAAAGAAAGAAAGAAAGAAAGAAAGAAAGAAAGAAAGAAAGAACGAAAGAAAAAAGCTACCAAAAAGGAAAAAGGAAGAATAAAGGAAATGCAAATTACTAAAAATCAAGAAAGACAGATGAAAAAAAGAAAGATGAAAAAAAGAAAGAAAGAAGCGATCTAAAGAGACAATGAACAAAAAAGAAATAAATGTCGGTTCAAGGAAAGAAATAAATAAACCTTTTAGCTTTTATTTCATATGTGCAATGTAGTGCAATGGATAAAAGCTTAGAATTAGAAACCGGAGAGCTATGTTCGAATTCCAGTCGGGTTCGTTATAATCACTTAATAGCAAATATCCTGTGAGAACGTTGTAAATCCATCATTTCTCATCCGGCAATGGGTTAAATAAGAATGCAGACTAGACTCCAATAGCCTTGATTGGCAACTAGTCTACCACAGATAAAACGGCGGGAAATCTTCTGCCTAATCAGCCGATAAACCGAAAAAAAACATGATCTTCCAAGCACGTATCACGTATGCTACTTGAGTGATTTTATCTGAACACCGCTGTCTTCATTGTTTCTAATTGATACTCGTAATATTTATAGAATTTCTTTGATAAATTTTTGTCATTTATTAATTTTTGCGGGCATTTCCTTATCTTATTCATGTTGTCTTTCATTGAGATTCATGTATCATTCTACGATAGTGAGTTGCGATAAAGTGTGTGAAAATTGAACACGGTCAGCTCATTGTGACCGTGTTCATAGTTGATTAACTGAATGTGCTCACCGTGTTTGGAAAATATATATATAAAAATAACATTCCCATAATTGTAGATATATACATAAAAATCTACAAGAAAAAAAAATCCTTGATAATAGCTAAAGGAATAGCCGAAAGCGCTCGGACACACAGAAAATTCGCACAGTTTTTTTCACATTTTATGTCCAGAAAAGAAAAAAAAAAAACTATACAAACACAAGAAAAAAATAAACAAACATATTAATCGCAGTACCTTGTCATTCATCTTTAATGAAACTGATATATATATATATATATATATATATATATATATATATATATATATATATATATATATATATATATTAATCAGTTTGTCTAACGATCGCTAAAGCGTGAAACCCATGGTCACAAACACACATCTATCCAACCAAATATGTTAGCTCTATCTCTGATATTGAGCGTTTTCTAATAAGTACCGCGCATATAATATATAAATAATTATACATATATATATTTATTTATATTTACATACACTTTTCACATATATATATGTATATATATATATATGAAAGGGGAAACGAAGTCTTGCCGCCGGGAAGAAGCCTGTTCGATGGAAAAACAAGGCTATATCATCGAGACTGTCACACCTGTGTGGGCCTGTACAGCCATAGCAGATGCTGCACTGCCGTTAGCAGCTGAGCCATAACTCGTTGGGCGCAGATCCAAGGTTTCTCAAAGCCGACGGATGCCCCCACCACCACCATACATACATATATATATATATATATATATATATATATATATATATATATATATAATTTATTTCAGTATGATTTCTTTTACTTTTATGGCCCATTCTTTATCTTTCTATATTTTTCTTTTTCCTTTTTTATCATTCACGCTGTAACTTTCTTTCTTATAGTTTCTTTTTTCTTTTTTCCTGATACCTTTCTTTCTTTCTTTCTTTCATTCTTTCTTTCTTTCATTCTTTCTTTCTTTCATTCTTAACTTTTCCTTCTTTTTTGTTCTTTATCTCTCTTGATAGCTTCTTTCTTTCTTTCATTCTTTCTTTCTTTCATTCTTAACTTTTCCTTCTTTTTTGTTCTTTATCTCTCTTGATAGCTTCTTTCTTTCTTTCATTCTTTCTTTCTTTCATTCTTAACTTTTCCTTCTTTTTTGTTCTTTATCTCTCTTGATAGCTTCTTTCTTTCTTTCATTCTTTCTTTCTTTCATTCTTGAATATAATATTCTAACTTTAACTATTTCTCTTTATAGATTATTTAATAGCTTAATTAAAAGACGGATTGCTACCCAAATACACACACACACGCGCGCGCGCATACACACACATATTATGTGTATGTGAAGAGAGAAAAGAAAGACCAACAAGAAGATATAAATGAAAAGGAAGATTGTGTTCAGCAAGAAAACAAAGAAGGAAAAAGAGAGAAAAAGTTTAACCGGGAAAATAAAATAAAGTGACAAAATAGAGAAAAAGGAAAAAAAATGCTATAGTACAAAGAATTCATTTCAGGTGAACAAAATTTCTCATGCAAAACACATTTGATTGCATGAAAATATTGCTTTCTCAGCCTAGTGTAAAATCCACTTTAATAGGGCCGAATTAATGGGCCTCACGTCATTTTATTTACGAGCATGGATAATGCATGCATTCAAAAATACGTTAGTAAGTCAGGAGCGAAAATTCACAAGTGGTCTAAACAATAATCAAATCTAAATGATGGTGTTGCTCTAACACGTGTAATCAATTAAGCAAATATTTGCCCTAATTTATAAACTGTATGGTCATCTTGGATCATTGCGTGGTCCATCGACTCAGAGCGATCCTGCCTAAACTCCTGGTAGGGCCACCCTTGGCGACAAGGTCGAAGACGGGGACCCAGACTAAGTGCGACCAACTAAAAAAAACAAAAAAAAACAAAAACAAAACAAAACAAAAACAAAACAAAAACACAATGGTGGAACAAGCTGATGATTACAACAGATCTCAACGGTTGAACCAGCGGATGAAGAGGGCTACGTATTACGGACATGCTACAGAAGGCGCGGTTTGAAATTATAACATCGGCAGTCTGTTCCAGTTTTATAACTGGATTCTGCATGTCTCATTCCATATGTTGCCGCAGATGAAGGTCATGAAATCAAATGTGTAGGTCACTTCCTGGAAAGTTGATGTTCACTTTAAATAAGTTCACGCCATCGGCACTTTTTTCTACTCATTTTCTTTCACATACAACAATCTCTCGCAAAGCCAAACAGGGTTAAGGAACGAATGACGGGAGCAGGTCTGGATGAGGCGGGAAGCTTCTAGTAGTCTTGAACCTGGACGTTGGCGGCGAATTTAGTCATCAACGTCATCATCATCATAAAGGAAGCGATCAACAAAGAAGGAATTTATTTCTTGGATACGAGAT